TCGTTTTTCATTTTCATCTCATCATGGAAAAAAATTGTCTCTGTGTGTAAAAATCCAGCAGAGGGGCGACATTTATAAGGCAGAGAATTGCACACAGCCTACAGATATCAACACTTCCTCAGACCAAACAGCTTTATCCTCGTCTCACCAAGAAGCCACTGGCTGAAAGCAGATATTTAATCACGCCCAGATCTGGGCCAGGTTTCTGAAGATGTTTGTAACCAAAGGGGGAGCTTCTTTATCTCTCTGAAGAGGAGCTGGTAGTCCACTCTCTTCATTTTTTTTTATTTTCTCTGCTTAGCCCTCAGAGAAGATGGCAGAGAAGAGAGAGGAGGTTCTGCCATGATTTAACTACAGCAGAATGATTCATCTGGTCCAAAATGAGCTATAAACTTGTGAAAATGATTACAGTGCGTGGAGCCACAACACTGAAATATATAAAAGACATATATTTCGCTTGAAAAATAATAAGACTGAATAAAAGTCAGTAATAAAAAGCTCAGTGACAGCGGGTCACAAGTGCTGTTCAGCACCACAGACAGCGACACTCAGCTGGTTTTCTGGAAATCTTGCAACTTCTCAGGTTGTTGACACACATGCAGCATTTACTCTCATCCATTATTTACTGGGATATCCTACTTCTTAAAGTAAGAAGCAAGGAGCTGAAGCTGTTTAGATGACAGTGGGAAGATGATTACATGTGACGATGTTCACATGGCACCACTGAGCAATCAGCTGGCACACCTGGTACCTATTAGCTGCTGTTTCCTGACACCTCCACCTACTGCAGGGATGCACCTATTCCTCCCCACATTCCGGCTCAGATACCTCAACTCAGGGCTGATTATCAAATCATTTCCTGGGAATCTTCCTGACATTGTTTTTGGTGCGACATCCTGGCACTCGAACACCCATGTCCCTAGGTCATTATTGCAATGTGCAGCCAATGGGAGCGCTCAGAGACATTTCATGCTGTCCCTGAACATGACATGAAACATATGCATTATATTTTAATCATTTTCAGTCAGTTTCCATAGTTTCACTTTCAGTACCTTACATTTAATTAACCCAGTCCCATTCTGAAGTTGTCAAAAAGAAAGTGGCTCCTGGCATCAGATACAGACAAAAAGCCGCCCTTTCATGTCGGCATGATACATGGCCGGTCGCTGTAATGGTTTAACAGTGTCCGGCGGCATCAGGGGGAATTGCGGTGGGACAACAATGAAAGTTAAGGGAGCACAAGTCCAAATACGATGAGTTGGAGGGGTGGTCGAAGGGTTTAACAACGATCAACTTTCACTGGGGAGGCCAGTGTTCCCTACACATAACGTTATAAAGCCTAAACCCTGTTCTTTTTTCCTAAATCCAACCACGTGCTTTTGTTGCCTAAACTCAACCACATGCATGTGTTGGCAAAATGAAACCATGTGTGTTTGTTGTTGAAGGAAAAAAATTCGCAGTGTTGTACTGACGTAGTGCGTTTATTTTGAAAGAGACTGTATGTAAACTGTAAATTTCCTGTGAAAACAGAAGTGTATTTTGAAAGAAGACAATGCATGTAACAGGCAGAACTGGACACAGTGTCCCAGAACATCAACAACCCACCCAGGGTACCTTGCATGTCATATTTCGACATGGAAAGTCCGTGACCAAGCATCAATATGTGACGAGGTCCGAGTGAGAATGCGTTGATGACAACTTGTAAAAAAGCTACTGGTTACATCGCAACTAGTGGCATGAGTGTTGTTGGGTTTATGGTCTGTCATCAGTGCTAGCGCTATTAGCTAAAGTTAGCAATTTAGGTGGACAACCCACAACTGCACTTTTCTTGTGTGGCCCTCTATCATTTGCTGGCTCCACAGACTGTAAAAAATTTTGGAAGTAGCTACTCTGACGTCACCCATTGGTTTTTGGTCTTGTTTTTGAATCCTCGAGTTTGGCATTTCGGCTGTCACCATCTTATTTGTTGGAGCCAGAAGTGGCCATAATTGGGTGAGAGGCTGGCGTTGTGGAGGAGCAAGGGGTGGATCTGATTGAGAAGCTGAGGACACTCAGAGCAGCCCGCCCTTAAATATGTGTAACTTTAAGCCTTCATAAAATGTCAGTGGGTGAGTTATAGGAAAATGTATCCCCCTTACAGTTGTCACAAAGGGTGAAATTAGCTACAGAGACCAAAACAATTTTTTGTACCGGGCTGTAAAATGTTTATTTCTGCTGTAATGTCAGGCATACTGGAGGGTCCAACCCCAAGACCTATATGACACCAAACTCCCTGTTCCCCAACCAGTCCCACATGTTTTCCATTGAAAAGCATATTAACCAGACGTGCATTTACCAAACCTGCCAGTTAGTCCTCATCCTTTAAGCCTTTTCTATTTTGAAAGCACTTCTGATAAGCATAAATGTCATGTTTGTGTGGCTGCCCCTTGAGGCAGGTTTGGAAAAAATCACTCACAACAACTGTGGTTCTCATAGATACATCTATACTGTATACACATATACTGTAGATTTGTGTTTGGTTGTCATCGACAGCAGATGCATACATTGTCATCTGCTTTCTGGCCACAGGGGACAGTAATGAGCCCAATATGACTTGGCTTACCACAAAGAGGGAAAGAAGAATCCACAAGAGAAAGCTGTGAGGTTTGTTTGCTTCCAGTGGGTCTCCACCCTGTAATGTCAATGTTGGGTCATGGATAGTTTCTGTGTCCTGAGTTTATTCTGCAGTATGTACTATTTGTGTACAGTATGAAGAGGAGACCAGGGGGCAACTGTAACATTTTTTACATTTTCATTTATAACTCACAGACAACTTGAAATGCACTAGTTATTTTTTTAATATTAGAACATACATATGTGCAGTAATAAGTAATATAATTTTTTTTTTTTTTCACTAATAAGCACAAGTCCACTGTATTACATGTAATGCAAGAGGTCAAAGTATTACAATTGCCCTCTTGGTGGAGGCAATAAATGTACTTTTTTATTTGAATTAAGTAAAATATGTTATTTTTCAAACATAAAAGTGTCAAAAAATCTTGTGTGCCAGTGAAAAACACCTATATTAGCATGGGTTAGTCATGCTAATTTCTAACCAATAACCCGAAGATAACATTGATGTGAGCTTTAATTTGCAGACTTTATGACTTAAGACAACTTTCTAACCTCATAATAATTTTTTTTCTTCCAAAAAACGTCTGTCAAGGTGAAAATATCCTGCTTCTTTTCCACAGGAAGAGATAGAATCCTACTGAGCATGTGCAGAGTAATGGTCATCATCACTCTACCTTGTTTCTGTTTGGGGGAATTGAGTAAGCTGCAATGCCCCATGTTACTACTGGCCCCAGTCTCCCCCACTATCAAACAATAATTATAGTAGCTATACTGGTTATAGAGTCTTTCAATAATAATGCACGTTATGTGCTCACCTTCACACAGGTAAAACATGGTCTGTCCTGTCTAAGGTAAGTTTCCACTTAACAGTATTAGAGCCCATCACAGGTAAGTGTCCATTCAACAGTTCAGTGTCCAAGTATCCATTCATCAGTTTTAGTTTCCACGCTACAAACTGCATGCTGCCACACTTCATGGTCAAAAAACTGTTTGTTTACCCCATCACACACCTGCTGCTCATCATCTGCACCTTACCTGTAGTACCTGCGTTTTCCTGCTCTAGTGCGCCACCCCGTGTACAAACAACTAAACTGCATCTATTTTACATGAAGTCAAACATGAATCAAAACAAACACAAAGAATGTTATTGTGGCTCCAACACTGGTTTTGCAGGTAATACATAAACAGTCTAACATACTTTACTGTTTTGTACTGACTGGAAATGATGCAGTATTGAAGTCAGGCAAGTTACTGATTAATTGATTGGTTGATCAATAGGAAATTAGTTGTTAAAGTCATTTACCAAGCAAATAAGATGGCTCCAGCTTTGTAAATGTGAAGACTGTAAATTTGAAACTCATGGGGTGTTGTGCTGTTTTTGAGTGAACCTTCTGAAAGAGAACCTTGGGTGAGTTAGTAGTGGTGTCTTACTCAAGATCAGACTGCTGCCAATGGGTGTTATGATGCTCAAACTCGACACTCTAGAAGCTGCAACCTCAAAGTTTAGATACAGGAATGAAAAAAAAAAGACAAAACAGGAGCCTCTGGTTAATCCTTTATACATTCTCAACATATACTTCTGTAGAAAACAATGTATTTACATATTTACAGGCATGTTTTTTTACAGTACATACAGCATTTACATATAAATATAGAGTGATTTTCAGCATTAAAGTCAGTGCTGTACAAACTGTATTTGCAGAACGACAACATTGTCGCAGCTGAGCACAAATAAAATTCAGGTAACATTTCATCATGTTCAGTCTGACATTTTGCTCCTGGTTTTCATTTCTTGTTAATAAGTGAGATGTTTTCTACCCCCCCAAAGACATGCAAGAAAAAGTACATTTCCAAGTGTTACAAGTAGCTGGGAGACATAAAATCAAAATAACACTTTTTGGACAGAAGACAGACATGCGTGTGTCCTGCACACTAAATGAGTGAGATGTTGCCTGTCAAAAGACTGAAGACGTTGCTGCTCTTTCATTCATGACTTTAACACTTGAGGTTCAGTGTAACGTGTCTGTTTTGGGGTGACGGTGATTTTGTCCTTATCTGGTCAGGTTCGAATCGTATTGGGGCACATGATGGAAGAAAAGGGACAATGGGTCTCTCCCAATACCCACACTGTATCACTGAAGAAAGCTGTCAGCTCACCAAGCACCACTGTGCTAGCTAACATTACAGCTATTGCAATTAATGTGCCTTTCGTCCATGCGTGGTGATAAGGTGCTCACAACAAGGTGTGTGGATTATCTTGAATAACCAGGTCATGATTTCTTGACAGAGACATTGCTGTTGAGTTTTGCAAAATGTATCTTTTTGGCACTTTGAGCACAACAAGCCGAGTGCCATCTAGTTCCACTTTATTCCAGAGAAGGCAGACATCTCTACAGCTTATATCTCGAACATTCGGCAACTCACACCAAAACAATCTTGACTGATAAATAGCACTACAGGTAACAGGCAAAATATGTATTTTTCATTTTGGGGTGAACTGTCCCTTTAAGTCCCTCCTTTTGGCAGTTGAAAATATATCACACAAGCCGGGCATTGGGACAGACCCAAAGAAAACGCAGGTGACAGAGACAGATTCCCAGGATCCCCACATGAAGCTGGATTGAATATTTCTCATTTGGTGTAACAGCGCCCCTCTGTGGACAAAATATGCCACACTGATCCTTGGATTGTGCTTCACAGCAAATCTCTATAGTTTGCATAAAGCAGCAGGAATGTTTCAAAAACACAGCAGGCATCCAATAAATCCAGATTTCTGTTCAATTAGAGAGTTTGCTGTGTTTTTAAAATGAGTTTATCTGTGTCATAACTAAAATATTCCCTTAATAACTAAGGTGTATTTACAGTGACCTATGTTTTCTGTACACAGAAGAGGATAGGCATGGCTTGCTTTGTTAAGATAAGAGTCTAGTTTGTCTTAAAATAAGTTAAATAATGTTCCATTAACTGGTGATTGCTGATATTTTTTCTCCTCATAATACCTGGTGTCCTCACAGTCAGAGTTACTGTCCTTATTGTCTCACATGAAGCCTTATGGTGCATTTTGCTGCAACACTGGTTGAATAACGATCTGTCTTCCACTGAACAATGAGAGGTACGATCTCTTCTTATATCGTAACAGTTTTTCAATCCATCTGAGTGAGTTTATCTCCGCATGCGTCGATGGGGATGGATTTCACCTGCAGAGACGCCCTGACTCTCCACTCTTCTTGAGTTTCAGTTGTATTCTGTGAGTTGCCCATTTGTCAAATGCTCACTGTCTTTGTGTAGGGCTTCTGCAGGCAGAGCGAGCCGTGGTGAGGAAGAGGATGGCTGTAGTAGTGTTCAATCACAGCTGACAGAGACGGGAAGGTGATTTCATTGTCCAGGAACACGGTGTCGTTCTGCCAAAACAGACATAGCGAACAGGAGACTGTAAATTTTACATTGTCGTTAAACCTAATCTCTACACATAAACATATGTATATATATATATATATATATATATATATATGTAGTCAAAATACGACAGAGAGACACAGGACTCTTACCTCTTCAAATAGTCTGTAGTTTCTGGCTTTGCCGATACTGACATCCCACACCACCAGCACCTGGGCAACACCAAAATAATTTCATTTTTATTTCATTTCATTTCCTTTTTGAGTCATAAATACATAGAGACACTAGTTTCTGTGGTGGAGGACACCAGAGCAGCTTTTGTGTTTTACCTTCGATGTCTTGGTTCCTGAGTTTCTGATGCCGTACAGTCCGTCCTGAGGAGGGCTGGCGCTCTCTTTGAACAGTCTGCAAGTACAAACAACACAGGTTACGCTTTATCAACAGATAAGCTTAACATTGTGTCTCTTATTTCACTGTTGTTATTGGTATGCAAATAACAAAAAAAGATTAAACAAGAATACATGTATGACTACGAAATAATCATTTCATAAAAAACAATGCAAACAAAATAATTGCCTGAAAGAACCACTAGAGAGCAGACATGCTCTGTAAAGCAGCACAGCTGTGGCCTGAAGAAAATATATTTAAGTTTACAGCTCTGTCTTACTTTTCTACGAAGCTGGTTTCAGTTGTATCAATGAACACAGAGTCTGGCAGCTGCACCTGCAGATAGAAACACCTGGTTAGACACAATCTGTTTATGAGAGCAGGGATTTACAAACTTTTCCATGACAAAGTCCCCTCAGTAGCAATAGCAGTGTCACGCAAGCATAGAGTGTTAAAGACATAAAGCATTCCTGGAATTTAAGCCCATGTTGCATGGATAGATGTTTAACGTATTGATTACTTAAAATTGTCATCTCTCATTTTGAAATCAAGCCATGCATTGGACTGTTTCTTTCTCTCCACCATGACTCCTTCTTGTTGCAACTTTACAGCAACAAGCGTGGTTGCAGGAGTTTGATGTCATTGTTTGGCATCGTGCAACTTTCAGAAAAACATGAAAAAACTTGACAGGCTCAGGCATATGATTCTCCTGGATCCGAAAATTTGGGGCCAGTTCTCGACTGGAAGCAGATCTAGATTCTCAGTGTTTCAGCGGCCTACAGTAAAGGTCAGTTTCAGTTGTCACGTCACTGTCAGTCTCTCTTACGTTTTCATAGTCGTCATCGGACTCGTCTCCTCCGCTGTGTTTGGCCGGGTCTCGTTTCCTCCTGAAGTCTGCCGGCGTCTCTTCTCCCAGTGAACGGAAGCTCTGGCCATCTGGAGATGCTCTTCTGGGGGGAAAGCCATGTTAGTGAGGTAGCTTCAACCAGATACATTTGTTAGAGCCAGATCTAGCAAGTCCTAGTTTCCTATTATTTTTTGAGTCACCTTCATGCACCACCTGACGTGGTAGCTTGGGAACCTTTGATTAAAGGCAGGTGTGCTGAAGCGAGTGTGGAACGTGGGAGACGCCACAGGGTTACAGTGTTTGACCGTCCTTTTTTTGGTTAATCTAATTGTTTGATGAAGTCATTTAATACCCCATTGATTCGAACTTTGTTTTTGTGAAGGCCTGTTTTTTTGAGGAATGTTTGTTTGGGGAGTTTTTTTTGAACGCGATAGTCAAACAATCAGTTCATAGCATCATCTTGTAACTCTCCATACATCCTGCAAATCAGTCAACTCTAAAACCAACCAAAGCACCCTGGATCATCAAACAGTGAGTGAAGCTAAACCAAAGACAGTGTGTTCATCATATCTTCAGTTATGGCGTCTGTGGGCGGCTATTTTTGAACTTTTTTTTTGTGTTATTTCAGAAGACAGTTTAATGGATGTTTTGTGTGTTTGAACTTACTGAAGTGGGGTTCCTGGCTGCTTGGACTTGGCTGTAAGCAGCGGGGGTTTGACTGTTGGCGGAGGAGGTTTGGGTATCGCTGGCTTATTGTGTAGTCCAGCTTTAAGTACAGGAGAGAGCGAAGCGTGGCCAGGCAGCGGTGGGTGACTGGAGGGCTTCTGGTTGGGGGACAGGGAGTCTGATGTCATAGGTCTGAGGTTGGACCCTCCAGTAATGGAATGGGGAGGTAGGCTCGGCTTGCTGCGATGGTTACTCATCACCACCTGGTGGTTGTTGCCCAACGATTTGCTCACTCCAACATTAAGGGCAGAGTGGGAGGGACCATTTAGGACCATCCTGGTCTCTATTTGGTCGCAGATAGGCAGAGTGGCGGGGGATTGGACAGACATGGCCGGCAGAGGCCTCCAGTCTCTCTTGTCGTTCCCAGGCCCCCCCACAGATGCCACCCTGCTCTGAAGAGTTCTTTTTGCGTTGGGAGGAGGAGGAGGTGGAGGACTGGGAGACACAGACATGGACTTGGGCAGGTGGGGGGCAAAGGGGAGAGGAGGAGGCGGGCCTTTGTGGGGGTCCTTCAGTATGGAGGGAGGAGGTACAGAGGGTGGGGGTTTTTTGGGGAGCGGGCTGGTTTGGATTCTGTGTAACGGTGGGACAGGAGGAGGCGGGCCTTTGTGGAAAGCCGGAGCGGAGTCTTGACGGAGCTGGAACGGCACTGGGGGAGGAGGGTAGGAAGGGGGCGGCCCGGTGGGTCGACCTGAAGAGGTAAAAACAGAGGAAGACATCAGACTGGTGTCTTGTTTGGTTAAAGCTTCTTTGTTAATGTTTTTCCCTACATGTGACTTGCTCTATTATTTTCTGTCACATTGACGCTGAAACACATTTTGAGTTTTATACACTACACTAACGATATCAGTGTTGTTTTAGTACTCCAAATATTAACCAATATATGTTGCTTTACATAATGATTGCCACCCAGTCATGATTTTGAGCCTTGGCCTTTAAAGGTTGCAGTACGATAGCCACAAAGAAAATTAAATTTGATTTTCATTTTATTGCTTTTTTATAAGATACATTCCCAAAATTCCTGGGGGTTTTTAAAAAACAGAAACTGAAAATTACAAGCTCCACTATATCATCCAAAACATCTAGTGTGAGTGCCCTTAGAGTTGCAGTTCCCCTAATTGTCTCCTGCTTCCTTTAACCAAATTATTCTCCTTTATCTGCTGCTTTCACATCAGTGTCTGTTTGACTTCCAGGAACTCAGTTTATATAAGAAGTTTAGCAGGGTCTCTGGATTTGACCTTTGATCTAATTACTATCGGTTCTGATTCCAGTGATGTGACAGATGAAGTCAGATGGTGTGAGTGTGTGTGTGTTGCAGGTGGCGTCACCTGTAGATGTCGGTGAACAATCTCCGTCTGGCTTCAGGTAGTCTTCCTCATCGTCATCATCATCATCTTCTACATAATCTACACACAGAAAGAAGAGACACCACAGTTTAATAACACACAGGTATAATGTGTAAGTTACATGTATGCGTTCGTCATGCCGGTCTTACCATCATCTGCGTTATCAACAGGGTGTTTAATTTCCATGGGCCTCTCAATGGTGCCGTAGAAACTGTCTGCATCTGAATCTGAGTCACTATGGCAACAAGGAAAATGTTATAGTGAATACATAATATTGAGAAAAACACTGGAACATCAATTCAACATTATGATTGCTGCCACCATGAATCTATTTACAAAATATGACACACAGTTTTACAGCTAGCCAACAGCGATCATGTCATTTAAAAGCTTTTGGGCTCCTGTGGTTTTATATTTGACCCATCTGATGAGACTCTTGCAGCCATTAGTGCTTGTTAGGCAATAAGTAAATGGAAAATGTCAGCATCATATACTAGCACTACAAAAAAGTTTAAGTTACACCACTTTTGTCATATCACAAAAAACTTTGTACAAAGTTATTTTAGATAAGCCTCGGGAAGGAAACCAGACTTTGTGTTCACGGGTAAACTAATTTCCTGCGTGGCACAGATACTCTATAATGGAGAGCTATTAAAAAAGCTGCTAATGTCCCAGGTTCCAATAACAGTATGTGTTTTGAGGTAAAAAAAAAAAACCTCCAGGCTGGAAGCTTAGTAATCAAAACAAGAGGCCATTTTAATTTCCAGCTTAAATTACAAATTAGCCTGCAGACTTCATTTGAAATGCCATTAGTCAGCTTGGAAAAAGTTGCACTGGGCCCACAATGATTAGTTTGCAAGGTTCTCACGCAAACATTTAAAGTGACTGAGGTCACACTGATAACGGCGGTGAAGCCTTTAACACAGCCTTTAACAACATTTTTTTTTTTCAGTTAATTCGTGCTTAATTTTGTGCTGCATATCAGCCTATTTTCATTTCCGGGAATCAAATAATGCTGCTTGTCATGTCCTATGGAAGTGGTTCCCAACTGGTCCAGCCACGAGGTCCAGATTGCATCTTAGTCATTAGTTCAAAATCCACACAATTTCTTACAATCAGAGTCATACTTGTGTTTGCTGTCTCTGTCAAGTAGCTGTCTATTAGTTGTTCACTCTACAACAGGAAATGGCACTTTAAAATAAAAGCCCTGCGCCAAAAATTGACCACACTTAAAAATAAGGTGTGTTTTTTACAAACTTGACACATTTGCACGTCACCTGCGGTCCATTCAGAAAGGACCCACGACCCACTTTTGGAACATGACCCACCAGTTGGGAACCACAGCCCTATGGCATGTGATATCGAACCATCCTTCCACCTCTTTATGAGATGCACCAGGTTTTAAACTAACTCCAAAATCTGCAGCGATACCTGACGCTGAGAACAAAACTGGACTTTCATTCAGGAGATCGCAGTTTGTGTCCTGTGTGAAACCACAAGGTCATCATGGTTCTAACATAAGGTTACACAATTTTGTAACCCAGATCATTTTATTCTTCTCAACCTAACAATGTAGTTTTGTTACCTAAACCTAACCACAACCGTTTCACAACATTAACCACGTGTTAAGACATGCTTTAGCTGTGTGTCCCATCACACTAAAGGGTGCCCTGTGTGTTGCTATAAGACACAAAGGGGCGTGACAAAATATCATCTGGGAATGAAAACAGTTTGCGTATATACACAACTGTAATTTGTAATATATATATATATAATATAGTCTGTATCATATCATGTATCTACATTGTGTTGTGAAATATGATGTGATCTGGTGAAGTTACCTTGGAATGTGGGAGTCTTTTCTGTCGTTATAGTGATCAATCTCTCTCCGCAGGTATCGCATCCATTTCTGTACAATAACAAAAAAGAAAACAATGTATTTTATCAAAAAATATGGCAGATGAGAGGACAATGTGTAACTTTTGCCACTGTACACTCTGTGCGCTACTAATTAGGTGTGGTTGTTCTCACCCTCCTCTCGTCCTCGCTGGCTGCCGAGAAAAACCACGTCCTATGTTTCTTACTGAAGTGGACGATCTTGAAAGGAAACACGTTACTAGACGTAGTCTCCTCTGCTGCTCTCATCACTCTGTGGAAGAGAGGAAATGTGTTACAGTGAGAAACATAAAAAGGGAATATACACACTTAAACTCTATTTATGGGCCTGTTTATGAGAGTAGAGCTACTGTGACCAGTTACTGACATGATTACAACCATAGTCTGGTGATACACAAGTCAAAAATCTCATCACATGACCAAGTCATTGTTGAGTCATTAGTTCTTATCAATACACTCATGATATGTTAATCATTTTGTGCTATCACAGGATACAATGTTACGTATTATTTCCCTCTTTAACATCTGTTCAGGCACAGACTTAAAAATTGTAGACGCAACAAGATGCCATTCATTGTGCTGTGGCACACCAAAACTCAAAGACATGGTTAGCAAACTGAAAGTCTGGAACTGTGCTAGAAAACAACATTAATGCTAAAGGACACTGACCTGTTGTAGCCATTGAGAGAGAACGCCCCCTGTGGTGCAGGAGAGGTACTGCTCTTAAAGTAGTACACACAGCCCTTGTGGATGATGATGTACCTCAGTGGCCCTGTAAGACAGACAACAGATATATTCCATCTATCCACCAGGGTAATGAAACTTGACAGATAACTGGAGCTCACAATATATTCTTGGACATTCCTTTTTATTTTGTCCACCCACACTTAAATTTTTTGATCATGAGCTCACATTTCATGAGGCTGAACTGGCTGCCTCCCTTCTTGTGGAGGTATCCTGACGTGGAAACTCCTCCTGGCATGGTGAGGAGGTTCTGAGCCCCGATGGCTCGCATCGGCACCGGCCAGCACATCTCCGGAGACGACATCGTTCTATAAGAGAGGCAAAAGAGAGGAGTGGATGTTATCAGTGAAGACAGTCACCTCAGGAGTCGCACAAGATCATGGAAATGTCAGATCGAATCCCAAACGAAAACCTGTTCTTGTTCAGAAATTTGTTTTGCTGTACCTCAAAGATATCAGGAGACAAGTGACATATTTAAAGATCCAGAACAGATTAAAACCCACAACCTCTCTGTTAACAAATGGCTTTCCGAGCTGCTTTAGCTCTTATATAGAGGACTACAAAGCTCTCAGAGAGCCTGGTGTCTTCACACACCTTCGTAGCTCTCTAAATTAGTAAACACACAATAATGGACAACAGTGGGATATATATTATTCAAATAAACACTCATGATAAAGAAGTAAAAACCTTAAAATATGTCCTTGCAATGCACCTGGAGCCAGACCAGCAGTAACAATCACCTTGTTCCTCGGTCTACCATAAACATTTAATTAGAAAAAATAAAGACAAGAAAAGGGCACTATGTTCCAAAACGCCAATTCTGCCCACAAAGTCATTTTGATCACTGATATGAGGTGTGGTGCCTTAGTAGGTCAGACATCTAAAAATCAAAGAACTGTGTCAAAGGTTAAATGGGATCAATAGCCTACACCTGTTATGTGACTGTGCTGTAACAAGGTGCAGACATGCTGTACACCTCCTTACAGGCCCCTGTGCAGCTGCATATTGTGTAATTCTGGGCTGCCCCATGAGAAAGTTAAAGGAATCCTCGCCCTGAGATCAAACTGAGAGACACATCTACAGACAGCCAACACAAACACAACCTGCTCCAGTATTTAGGGCCAAATTCTCACAATGTGACTGCTGCTACGAGCCACAGCTGCTGTGACCATGCCTGCATAATCCCCCCACTCTCTCAGGAAACAAAAGCTCACTGGCCAAAAATGTTTGCCAAAAATCCAGCATGCACGACACACTCATCAGGTGTTTGCTACTGGTGTATTCACTCTATGGTTATCATGAACACTAAGTTTCATCTGTCCGTCCTGGAAGAGGGATCCCTCCTTAGTTGCTCTTTCTGAGGTTTCTACCATGTTTCCCCTGTTAAGGAAAAACTCCCCAAAAAAGCCCCTTTATCTGCTGGGAGGGTCCAGGGAAGGGGGGCTGTTGTATGCTGTGAAGCCGTCTGAGGCACATTGTGATTTGTGATTTTGGGATTTATAAATAAAATTGAATTGAGTGGAATTGAGTAATGTAGGAGCTTTTCTGTAAGTCAGTAAAACAGTTGTCATTATTGTTGTTAATGGAGAAAGTTAAAGGAACAATTCACTCCCTAAATGACCATTTGAATATCAGTCATTCACCACATGTTATGTTGAACTTGTGAAGAAAACTTTTTTTTTGTTGCATGCCTCCAAGATGAACGAAGAATCCAAAAACGGCGAAGGCTCTTGATAAATTTAATTAATAGCAGACCATGTTTGACAACAGCAAAACAATATGCGAACATCCGTTTACAAACTCTCACACAACTCGTTCGGTATAATCCAAGTCCCATTTATCCAGTCGTATTCTCAATATTACCCAAACAGACAGCCCTTTTCGACGGGGATCTGAACAGGAAGTGAAACATGCTCAATGCAAACCCAGACTCCATTGACAAAAACAATAATTTTACCTCACTGAACACGGGAGCTGCTAGTGTAGTTTTGCTGTTGTTAAACACGGACCCCTATGACTTCAATTCATTCAGAACTGTCTTAGTTTTTGGATTCTTCATTCACCGTGGAGGCGTGCGAGAAAAACAAAGTTTTCTTTACAAATTCAGCGTAATAGGGGGTGAGTAATTCATACACAGATGATCATTTGGGGGTTAAGGTATTGCTTTAATGGAGCTAATGGCTAAGGTCTTATCTACGCAGGGAAAAACCATAATCCTGACTTTATTAAATCCTCTTAAAAGTGGTATAATCTTCATTTTTCTCACAATCTCAGAAATCCTTTTCTTCAGAAAGTCATCCTCTTACATCGTGTGACCTGCTCAGGTCTTGCCTACCTCCTGCTGAGCCTCCTGTTGATGCTCTGAACAGCAGCGCTCTCCCTCAGCAGGCTGACTGTGGAGGTTAACACTGTGGATGCTAACGCCGGCAGCAGGTCCATGACAGAGATGTCCAACAGACAGTGGCTTCACTGTCTCGTCTCATCAGATCCAAACTGAGAGGGATTTGTCTGTCCGCTCCTCTGCCTCCTCTGATCACACTCTCGTTTCATTTCACTCTCTGATGCTTTCCCAGTCTCTGCCGATCTCTCCCTCTCTCCCCCTTCTCTTCGGCTGTCTTTGTTGATTTCTATCTGTCTCGCCCTCCCTTGCACGTAAACACATTCAGGCTAAGATAATGTACTTCACACAGATTTCCACATAAGCACACACACATTCAGTTCAGACAGGAAACACAGAATGTCCTGAGTACTTGTTGCCTGTGTGTGTGTGTGTGTGTGTGAGACAGATCGGGAATCAAAATAAACATCCCAAGTGAAGCTCTTCATCCTCTAATGTGTTTATGTGCAACTTCCAGTCTATCAACGGCATCTAGTGTCCTCATAAAGGGAGCAAAAGGGAGGGTGGGTGTGTGTGTGTGTGTGTGGGTGGGTGGGTGAAGCCCAGGAATGAAGAACTCCATATCGCCAAAAATCCTCTCCCTTTCACTGAGATAAAAACCTGCAGGAATGTGTCTAAATAGTTTACTGAAACAGATCCACCATCTCCACATCTGTTTTATGTGTCAAGTGACGCTGATGTGCAGTGACTAGCAGGCAGACAACTGATATGACTGTCATCGGGCCCCAGCATGTTACTCAACAGATTCTGCCTTTGGCTGGTCCCCTATTGGATGATATCAGACCTGTTGGAAGAAATCTTGGAGTCTAGTTTGAGTTTTGTAGTTGGGATTATATATGATACATTTTAAACATAGGGATAGCAACCCTTTCGCACTCGCAGTGGTGGAAGTAGTTGTGTAAAGGATTAAAAGAGAAAGCTTAAGAGAGTCATTCAGATGGCCACTTTTAAAAGTTAAACATTGTCAGACATAGACCAGATTCCTCTGCTGGACCAGTGGGTTTCAGATGCTGTTTGAAGATCTGACAAGCACTTTGTTTGAACTGCACTGAGGCCGTACTACTCAGCCTGTGTGTGTCTCTGAAGGAGCTTTGTCACGTCTAAGAAAATAACCAGAGTGAGACTGCTTGAGTCATCTCAGTCTGGGCTTGGAGAAGGCCAATATTACAAATTAGAGGGGTTGAGTTTTAAGGAAGAAAAGACAGTCAGAGGGGGCGACACAATGTGGCACCAGAGACAGATAGTTACAGGATAATCGCTACAACCATGATGCACCACTCACCCAATCTCAAGGTTGCCACACTGAACTGCCACTATGCACCAATTCACTACAAACCCTGGTGTTACACCACATGCAATCGTCCCTGGTGCACCCACTGGCTGCCACCAGGAAACCTCACAGATAGACAGGAGGACCAGTTAATTTTCTTAAATCAATGGATAATAATCGGCGCTTGACAGAAGTTCACACAACCCAGGCATCCATAGGTGTGTGTGTCCTCCTTGCCAGCCACAAAAGTACTTTGAATTACCACAGCTGTGTATTTGAATGGGAAGGGCTGTGTTAAATCAGCTTTCCCTGGATCTCAGTGTGTGTCTCAGACAAGAGGTGAAAGTCAAAGAAGCCTACACACTTTTCTAACCTAAGCTCCTCCCACTGACACACCCTACTTCCTCATGCTAATGTTTTTGTTCCGTGCTTTCATACAAGGACCTGTTCATGTCAGCATTTCAAACAGCAACATTTAAAAGCAAAAGCACTTCTTTTGCATGCTCTTGGTGGTCAGTACAGATCTTTGCAAGTTCACTTTGGTGGCACTTTAACCGGCAAGTTAGACCCTTTGGTCAACAGTTTTGGTGGTAGTGAGTGGAGGAAATGGAGAGTCACAGGTCCAAAGCAGGGCATGCTATCATAGCTTATTAGCTATGTTGCGCCATGCACTCATGTGTAAACCTTTGTCAGCTTATTAACTGCTCCAAAGAGGAGGTTTGCAAACAGTTAAGAGACCTAAGTTGACAGTACAAATACATCTACTGAATGAACTGTTAAGATTTATACTTGAGCCTACGCCGTTGTGAGCATTTATACGTGTGTGGTGTGTCTGTGCCACTCTACAGTTACACAAACCACTAGTCAGCATTGAGGTTTCTGTCAAGTGCTGTAAAGTTTAGTTGACGAAACACACTTTAAACATGGCTTGATAGCGACAATGTCAAACACAAGCACATAAATCGGCTTCACTATGACATGCTAATGTTTTTAGCACAAGCCTATGGCATTTTGCATTGTATAAATTAGCCTAGCGGCTAGCAAACTTTTCCTCTACTCATGACGCCAGGGACAACAGCAACATTTAACAAAAATAACGTTACAAAATTCAGCTCCATTACAACTCACAAGGTTAACTGACAAAACAAGTGTCTTATACTAAACACATTTTCCAAACAAATATAACCTGCTAACGTTATTAGCACAAGCCTATGGCATTTTACATTGTATAAATTAGCCTAACAACTAGCAGAGATTTCCTCTACTCATATGAAGCCAGGATAAATCACACACATATTTATTTATTTATATTTATTTATATTGCCTAACCCTAACCCTAACCCTAACCCAATGAGGGAAATGGTTTCAGCTTGCAGAAATGGACAGGAGGTCTGCATCGCCATGATGTGTAGTTAGTTCTGGGTAGATGCACGGCAGGCTACGTTGTACAGTACAGTGTAGTCTTTATGTTGACTCAGAAGTGTAAATTTTGCAAGGATGCATGGGTGAACTTTACAGGGCTGGTCTGGTGTGACTGGGCTTAATACTAAATCACTGTGGCACTTTAATTTAAATGCAGCTGAATTTACATTAAATATTATATCAGTCTGTTCATTAGCTTTTCATATTTCCAGTGTACAAGATCACGGGAATCCACACATCATTAGGAATCATCCTCTGGAGATATTCACAACAGATGTCATGTAAATCAGGCTGATAACCAAGTGACCTCACCTTTCTTTCACCCTGCTCACTAAACTTTAACAGAAAGTGCAATGTTGTATCAAGCACCAGGAATTTTAAAAAGAATTAAAAGAAAAATTGGAAGCATGGGAGTGTGGACAGAAGGAGGGAGTGAGAGCGGAAAGGTGATAAAAAGTGGAGGCGAATAACCTGTCCGAGACCCAATAAATCACCAGGGTGGAGCTGCGGCTTGTTTCTGACCCGAGTGCCCTGCTGCTAATGTGTGTGAGGACTTCAAGAGGACCCACAGAGCCTATCATGTGGTTTGTTTGTCTGATTGTCCAAAGTCATGTTTACTGATAACCAGCAAACACACATACACACACACACACAGACACACACACACAGATAAGCAGCGTACATTCTGCAGTTAAGCAAACCTCATCTCAGTCTGAGTGAGGTTAAAGTTCGCCAGCTGCTTATCATCGCTACAAGGATTTCCTGAAGTCAACAGACACCCAGCCGGCGGACAAAACTGAAGCAACGTGATGGAGCTCTGATTGTGCACTTTCATGTTTTCTATGGGAAACGGCCTGAAAGTCTGTTTCAGCATTACTCCATCTGCCACCGACAAAGGGGGAACGATCTGCTCAAGATACCGGACACACTGAATGAACGTCAGTCACTTCAGCATCACATCAGCTGCTGACAATTCAACTAAAGTGCAAACACTTCAGCTTCCACTGTTTTGCTCATCGTTTTCAGTACAACTGTTTTTATCTTATATTCTTTAGATGACACTTTATCTGCTTTTACAATTCAAATTCAAAATGCTTTTTCCACAGTTGCACTTTTGCAATTGCACTGATTTCAACTGATTTCGGCTTTTCTACAACTTTAAACTTCAACTGACTTTGCAAGTGCTTCAACAAAAACTGCACCTCCCATTTGCTGCATCTCACAAGTTTGTTTCACATGATATTTTTATGGTCCCTGAACAGAAGAGGGTTAGGGCCACGTGTAAAAAACTAATTTGAGTTCTGAGTTTAAAGTCAGGATCCTGAAAATAAACTCAGAACTCTGAGGTTGAGGGTGTTTTAATATTAGGTATGATTGATTTGTTCGGTGCCTGAGTACAGTTGTGTGCCCCCCCCCCCCCCCCCCCCCCCCCCCCCCCCCCCCCCCCCCCCCACACTCCTCCGCCACTCAGCTTTCACATTATTAAGTTGCTCTGTGCCTGGGTCCACTTTCGTCACCATCTTTGTGACATTTTTGTTGTAGGAGGAGGAGGAGCAAAGCTGGATCTGGGTGTGTCTGCTGTCTGATATAGAGGCATCAGTTAAAAACTTGAAGTCGCCTTAAATAGCAGTGCACTTCTGTGTTTTGGTACAGTTGGTATGATGCGTACTGTACTGAAGTGCACCTGAACTGTATTCAAGACGGATCTGCTTACCGTGCCCAGGTACGGTACAGAATTCAAAACTCAGAACTAAAATTAATTTTTCACGTGACCTTAATCATCTAATATAATGTTTGAAACATAAAAAATTCTGAAATTTTAAAGAGAAATATAATATTTTGAGAAGAAACTAGTAAAATTATGAGAATCAAGTTCTAACTGAGAAAAATTACAAGCATTATTTTACAAGAATATTGTTGAAAGGTCACAATATTTTGTGTTTTTTCTATGTAATAGTTTAAAACTATGACTCTGTTCTCAAAACAATTAAAAACTTGATCACAAAATCTTCATTTTTTCCAGACAGAGGCCCAAATTGTTATAATATTATAAAAGAAAATGGTAATTATTTTACAAAAATGCATTTATTAAATAAAAATGTTGGATAGTTGAAATTTTGTTCCCTAATATTATGACTTTTGTTCTATAAAACTTGAAATAGTGGCTCCATTCTCTGGCATAGTTGTTCAAGCTTGCAATAAAATAAATATTTTATGAATCAAATTTTGCAGAAACATCGGCACAAAACCTTTTTCCCCCAGAAAAATATCCAAACACAATAAATACATTGACAGGGATCCAGTAGATTCACTCTGTTTGCCCAAATAAGCCCATCTGTCAGTTGAGGTCACTTCCTCCGCTCAGAGGAAATGATGAATGAAACAGTGAAGTACTTTCTCTCTTAGTAGAGGTTTAGGATTTCTGGGTATTGAAATTTCACCCAAACAATTTCCTCTCATTGCATAAGTCAAACTTATACTTTCCATGGGACACATTTACTTCTCCTGACATCATTATTGCCATGACAAGAATGCTGTGAGAAACTCCATGCAGGAAACACCAATCATCCAGAAATGACTCTTTAACTTTGATGCGTTTACTTGTATAGATGCTGCTCCTAAATACAGCCTGGTTTGTTGATGTTTCACCGAGTGTGTTGAGGCTTTGAACCCTCTCACCCCATTAGTTTTTCTAAGATCTCCACCCTGAGCTCTGCTGACATTTATGAGCAAGAGATGCT